ATACAGACAAGAACTATTATTCATACAAATTTGTTATGGTTAGTTTCCTTAAAATGGCAGAAGAAATTTCAATACTTTATTGGGTGCCCTTTGATGACATAACAAAGTCTTACCTTTCTTTACGAGTCAGTAGCTGAGTGGTTATTTGTTTGACAAGTAATCGGAAGGTTGAAGATTCAGCAGATTTATAATGGTTGGAGACCAGGCTCAGATTCTTTTATCATTGGTCTTTTAGTAAATAAAATAATCATGGCTAACAAAACTGATCTTAGCCCAGAACAAAACACACAGATCAACTCATAGATCATCTCACCCCATTCTACACTCATTGTGGCTTTATTATCAGTTTAGAATATGCTTGAAAGAGTGTGTCACTATTTTAAAGAATTGTAGACTGCAATACTAACCTTCTCTGCTGCAGGGGTCCAAGGTGGTTCCGCAGTAGGCTCAATAACAATCTCCGAAGCGAGGTAGTGGTTGTTCATCAACCCAGTGGGAGCCATGAAACCTCCAAGTACATCATGACTGACTGTTAGTGGCTCGGATACAAAAATCTAAATAACAAATTGTATGGAAATTAAACCATATACAACATTTGATTGACTCAGAAATAATTGTTTGTGCATTCTAAGAATGATAAAGTTTGAAAACAGAACTAAGAAATACCTTTATGTACACCATTCATTTAGGCTGTACCCATTGTCCTAAATTAAATAATTTCTATTGAACAAAACATAATTCTTTATAAAATAAGGAATAATTAGACTATAGACATGACTGTTACCCATTGTACTTCTTACAAGGGTATGTTTCTAAAAGATCAGGCCATTAGGGCACCACTTAACATTTTAATTGTACGAGGGTTGTTTTTTTTTCCACCTTCGATAGGCTATGAACAAAAGACAAGTTCATATAAAACATTAAATTTATTACCAAAAGTTTGGTCCATTTATGGTTACTTTTTGACATAATCACCAAAGAGATTGAGACATTTGCTATATCTGTGCACCAGCTTTTTAATACCCTCTTCAAGAAAAGTGGCCGCCAGTACATTCAAAAAACAAAAAAATTCAAAAAAACAAAAAATGTCAAAAAAATTAAAAAAATGAAGAAAAAATATAAAAAGGACTTTAAAATTTCTAGAAATTCAGTAAACAAAGCAATAATGGTGAAACTGTGGTTTATTTAACCATCCTGTCAAACGGTTGAACCAAGTCATCTGAAACGACAGTAATGAGCTGGTTCAACAAGTTGGCAGAATGGTTAAATAAACCACAGATTCACCATTATTGATTTGTTTACTGAATTTCTAGACATTTTAAAGTCCTTTTTTTATTTTTTCTTGATTTTTTTATTTTTTTGACATATTTTTGATTTTTGATTTTTTTTGTTTTTTGGAATGTACTGGCGGCCACTTTTCTTGAAGAGGGTATTAAAAAGCTGGTGCACAGATATAGCAAATGTCTCAATCTCTTTGGTGATTATGTCAAAAAGTAACCATAAATGGACCAAACTTTTGGTAATAAATTTAATGTTTTATATGAACTTGTCTTTTGTTCATAGCCTATCGGAGGTTGAAAAAAAAAACAACCCTCGTATAAGTAAAATGGTTAAGTAATTGTTGTTGTATTCATTCATGCTCTTACATTAACTATGGGTCAGGGGCAGGGCCATGTTTAAACTCTATGATACACTGATGGCTCACACAAGAGAGCCTATTCTGATTCCTCTTTCATTGGGGCTTGCGAGGCTTAGAAATACACCTAGCATTGCCCCAACGCGATGAACTTGACTCTTTGTCTTAAAAAATCCGATCCGCAAATAGACCTAGTTGGGTCTCAGGCTAAAGTAAGATAGAGTCAAAATCAAGTTAGGTACTTTGGAAAGTATTGATTTGAAAAAAATATTAATTATACTATAATCAGAATAAACGTGGTGAAAAGAAATTAGGAACACAAAACTTAATAGAAAGTTAATGTCATTGTCCTCAGTCACAAGGAAATAGTGAGTTTTTTCTGCAGCCACTGAGTAATTGTGAATGTCTATTACGTTGACAGAAAAATAGTGAATATTTTTGCGATCTTCTACGTCTGCTGAGGTCACATCGAACACTTCCCGTGTTTACAAGGATATATCATTTCTGTCTCCCATGGTCGCGACTAAATAGTAAATATCTTTTGCGATTGTTTGATTGTTGATTAGTTGTGACATAATTACCGTCTCCCCCGATCGCGGCAAAATCTTGAACATCTTCCGCATTTGCAGAGAGATCATTTTCGTCTTTCACAACCGCGGCAACATCATGAACGTTCCTTACTTATGGTCATAGAGGAATTGTGATAATCTTTTTCAGTTGCTGAGACTCCATCATCGTCAACTGGGATCGCAGTAATGTCGTGATTTTCAATTGTGCAATCTTCGCAGACGGTTTTGGCAACCACAAAGATAAAAGCTCTACTCAATATTTTAACCCCCTACCAGACAGATGTATTAAATGCAATTTTCAATAGAAAAAATTCCTTTGAGGCCCCTTGCCCTAGCATCTGCCCTTATACAGCCTTGGTCTTGGGCATCTTAGTATTACCTCAGATGTGTGAATGAAGTGTGACGCTGATATGAGGTCACTAGGAACCATTTGATGGGTGTTGTTGGTAGCATCGCTCGGATGTGTTGTAAGTTGGGTGGACTTTGATTGTTCAGACAGTAGCTGCAGCTTATCAAGCACATTCTGAAAGGAAAATTCTTTTCAGTGACCAATTACACAAAAGTTTGAAACAACCAAACAACCAATAGGGGCTTTGATTGAAGTTGCACCGTCATAGCACATTAGATAAGTTAAATTAGGTTTTTAAGGCTACACACATTTTAGGCGGTGAAACCTAATGTAAATGGCTAGGTACGGTATATTAGCCTACAATGGCCTGCTACAAGTTGAGTCGCAGAAAAAGCAAGGTGGCAGCCACCTACCAGCGAAGCAGTTCTTTAGCAACGGGGTCGCTGAGACCCGCTAGTGTTAAGGGCTCCATACGACTCAATGAAATTTTACAGATCTAGTGGCTGACGGGTGGCTGCTCAGGGTGGCTGTGACCTAATGCGAAGGTGGCCTAAATGTACATCAATATGATAACCTACCTTTATTTCTTGCAACAGAGTAATGAAATTCTCAAGATACTTTTCTGCAGAGGGGTTGAAGAGGATGTCTGAATAGTTGAAAGTAAACGTCTGAAGCACACCGATATTCTGAAACTGAGAAAGAAAGTATTAGGTTATGATAGTTTAATTTTAAAACCCTCCGAGTGTTATTTGTCGATGCGTCGACACATAACACACTTTGTGTAGTGTTTTGTGTCGATGCATCGACTCACAAACACTGTTTACGGCGAAGGCTCTATGACTGACAAAATCGGATTGAACTGGATCGAGTTAGGTATCATTTTATTTTGCAGATTCAGAGCTTTCTCCGGAGGTCTGTCTCTAAGCGCTTTTCATTTTAGTTCCGAAAATATTGTAGCAGACAGCTGACGTGCGTATTTGTAAACAGCTTGGTTAACCTCGCACCGATGACTGATGTGTTTTATTACGTTTATCATTGTTTTAGTGTTAAAAATCAAAAGTAGTGATATACGTGGTGCATTATAAGAAGATTTAAGTGATTTTGAAGGGCTGGTTGATGATCCTGAAGAAGTAGTGATATTGATGTAAATTATCAGCCAGATTCCTAGCTATGGTTAGGCTATGCATTCTTAGCTAAACGCTATGTACCGAAATCTGTTTTTTGCCCATAACTTATTTATTTGCAAATCTAAGTTACTTCCTTATATTATTATATGTTTGTAATCCTCATAAAATTTAGAACAAAGTGGCTATTCAAATATTTATAGGCCTATAATTTATACAATTTCATTGAGCGCAAACTTATTTTTTTTTTAATTTTCCAAAATATTTTTTGTTACCGGTACCTAAAAAAATTTTTTGAAACAAAATGTTCCTTATGTTTTATGTATAATATTGAAGCCCATGATTTTCTAAACAAAATGGTATATAGAACAGTATACAGTAATTAACACGTTCGCTGCTGAGCGCTAGATGCCGGGACGGCGCCAGTTGCTGAACTACGCTCGGCCGCTGCGTGACATTGCCACCGATACACTGAATTACAGTAAAAACAACAGTAGTTATACTGGATGGCAATGTTCTGCAATAAAACTGGCTTTGGATATAGTACTAAGTGATTATGATAGATAGCAGCACTACCCAGGTTACAGTCGGTAAAGTAGTGTCGCTATCTAGCAGGAAAGAGGTAAAACAAAGCCCTGTTCCAAACGACCCTGGTGGTGATTTGGGAAACTATATTTTTTATTGTCAGAAAAGTACGTCCCCACGAGCTGCAAAGAAATATAGAACGCTAGTGACGTGCTGGCTTATCCATAGCAACGTTAAACAACAATGAACGGTGACGTTCTGGAACGTTCTTAGCTCCTGGCGCCGGGGCCCGGCTGACGTTCCGGAACGTCCGTAGCAGCGAACGTGTTAACATTGTTTTCAAGCTTCTCAGATCCGTTTTAATAAAACCTTGCAAATGGGCAAAAAATAGGCAGACATTAAGGCCAAAACAAGGGACACTCGGAGGGTTAATAGATATATTTAAAAATATCGATTATTAATCAATATTTTCAATTCGATAGTTTCAATCGATATTAGCATAGCCCAGTTAAGAAACTGTAGGCCTACCCATTTTTTTTACTATTACTAACCTAAAAACTTAGGTGGTCAAGAAAACGCAATACTTACAAAAACTAACGTTCTCTCGAATATATGAATCACATCACTGGCAAGGCTGGCGAAAGAAGTCTGGAAATTCACAGTTGACATCACGGAAGCACTTAAACTCAATCAGGGATTTGTTGTTTGTTTGCAATTTTTTGTAACTCTCTTTAGCCTCTTATCTCGCGTTTGTTTTGTTTCCGTTTATATTACCTTAACCTAACCCCACTGCCGACATGACATCAACATCACGACAAGACGACATCGGGCATCTGCTGACTCTGACTCTCCTCTCCGCCCTCCGGCCTCCGCGAGTGCTGATCGGTGCTGATCAGTGATCTCGATCTGATCTGATCACTGGCGGTGGCGGGCGGAACTCCGGTCCGAGATCCGATCCGACCCATCGATATTTAATCGGTTACGGTTCACTTACACTACAAATCATAGACACTATGAGCCTCCAAATATTTTATTCTTAAAACACATGGCTCACTTACTCTACAGATCATAGTGCCTATGAGCCTCGTGTCTTATATTAAAAAATACAGTAGGAAGGTTCACTTACTCTACAGATCATAGTGACTATAAGCCTCGTGTCTTATATTAAAAAATACAGTAGGAAGGTTCACTTACTCTACAGATCATAGTGACTATAAGCATTGACTATATAACACCACATCGTAGTGTTATATAGTCAATGCTATAAGCCACGAGCCTGCGGTAAAATATCACAGACATCACTTCGAAAGCCACTTCCTGGGGCCCATTTCATTTCATAATAAAGTACAAACTAATATTATTAGTAAATCAGCTGATCGTCCAATGCAAATCTAATGGAAATTACAAGTTTGTAACTTGTAGTTTATTATGAAATGGGCCCCAGGGGTCCAGGGGAACCAAAAACAAAAATTATTACGCTCATAACCGAAACTCGATAATTATGACGAAAACAATGATTTCTCCATACAGGTACTATGTGAGTAGTAAGTAAAAGTAAATATTCAACAAATACATAATGTTTGTATTTTTTTAACAGTTTATCTGTCCATTTTGTAACAAACATAGTTATTCACAGTACAATGATAAATGAACAGTTACCAGATGATGTTGTCTTATCTGGATCATACAAGTGTGTATTATATAACCTGATATATACTCAAAATGTGTTTTATTCTATACCTAACGTTTAATTAAATTTAACATAAAAATCCCGCTCCCTCCATTTTTAAAAGTATTTAGTCCAAAAATGTAATAAATTTGCTTGCGCGCAGGCCTACATATTTATTTCATGATGATAAATAATTGAGGTTATGCAATACACTTAGGCTATGTAGGCAGTCGCAGCAGTCGAAGCCGGGCATAGCGCATAGAGTTTCACGAACGCAAACCGCGCAACGTGTAGCCTAGCTAAATGAACTGTAGTGTAAGTGAACCATCTAATATTTTACCGCAGGCTCGTGGCTCATAGTCACTATGATCTGTAGAGTAAGTGAACCATCCTACTGTATTTTTAAATATAAGACACAAGGCTCATAGGCACTATGATCTGTAGAGTAAGTGAGCCATGTGTTTTAAGAATTACATATTTGGAGGCTCATAGTGTCTATGATTTGTATTGTATGTGAGCTGTCCCCGTTTAATCATCTATGTATAATAACTCCCTGGATGCGCGCTGAGGTTGAAGTAGGGCTCGAAAAACGGTCCGCCATGCCGCTGCCTCGCTCTGTCCGCGAGGAGTGGGGATAAAGGCATGAGTCACCCTAGTGACGAGCGTCGCGCCCGCTCTCGTCGCGTATTGCTATGTTAGTTTTGTGGAAATATTACAAGTAAAATTTATTATAACGAACTTAAGGAGGTTTGTAAGCAGATATAATTAATCTAATTACTTGCTCACACTTTACTGACTATGCATTAAAAGTAAATCTCAAAAGAAATTTAGTTATGCTATGAAAGAGTTAGATTTATTTATAACCTATTTGAACATTGGCCAGAACAAAATATCACAATAATTATTTGATCACATAAGCATGTCATCATTTGCTGCTGTGAGCCCCAATGATTATTGAGAGACTTAGCAACATGTAAGAATATACATTTTGGTTATATTACACAGTATGTTTCTTTGTCATTCGTGTTTGTAAAATATATTATATGTTGTTAAATAAAAGGAGTGTATAATATTTTATGCCAATACTACTGCGAATCCAAAATGCATATATATATAGACTACGCGGTAAGCAATAAAACGCATAAACACACGCTTGTAAATTTAGTTACCCATCCTTCGTAATGTATTTATATCGTTCATTGTTATTTCATTGTTATTTGTATTGTTTATTGTTCTCACAAAAATATTTATCATGTTTATTGTTATTTCATTGTTATTTATATTATTTATTGTTTTCTAGGTTAGTCCATGTGCCATTTATTGTATACATATCTTCGTCATTCATTTAACTATGTACTTGCTTATCTTTACTCAGTTCTCTCTTGGTCCAAGTTTTTCACATGTATACTTTACTCTTATTATTGTTACATTTGACATTCCTTTTATTGTTATTATTATTATTATTATGGATTATCTAGTCATAATGAGCAATTTACAACTCAATCAAACTGTAAAATTGGTGTAAATCCGTTGGCAAATAAATAAATGTAATAACGAAATAATATTAAATATAATTTAATGTCTATAATGATAATTAAATGTCAGAAACTCAGTATCTACTAACAGTATCTACTAGTAAGCACCGATCTCTATTGTAGTAATAATATAGTAAGTCCCGTAAACTGATGCCTAGCCGGCCGAGCTCCTAGCGCCAATGCCACGCCAAGCGATTTTATGCATATTTTTAATCGCTTAAAAATGATACAACCAAACTCCGTATCAAAAAAGCTTCAAATAAAAAACATAATTCATACTTTAATCTTAAACTTTGCTGCAGGAATTTTTTTTCCTAGCCAAAAAATAAAAAAGTTCATCGCTTACTACATTTTTCATGTTTTTAGGTGTGTTAAAAAACGATCATCAGTTTTAATTTGCCTAAATAAATGATAAAAATATGTTTAGGTTAAAAACAAACTATACAGTAAGAAGCACTGTCTTTTCCAGAAAATAAAAATAAAATTTGAAATTTTTACGTTGGTAAATAAGTGAAGGAGGGCAGGTCGAATGAAAGTATGGTATGTTTGTGTAAAAGACAGAGGTTCATACGGCCCGTCCACCTCGGTATCCCACCAATTCGATTGGTGGGCACGGAGCGTTTTTCACCACACATCGCGCTATCCAGTAGAGTATTATACATCGATGTGTATAATAACTCTACTTTAGTTTGGTGGCAAATTTCATTTTGGTTTTTGTTTTTTGTTGTCTCCTGTTAATAGATGGGATTTAGTAGAATCCCATGGTGGAACCACCACTTCTTATTTGTTAACATAAAAATTTCTAATTTATATTTTATTTTTCTGAAAACTAGTGCTTATTACTAAGTAGTTAGTTTTTACATATTTTTTATAATTTATTTATTCAAATAGTTACCCCTCCTTCGTAATGTAATTGCATATTTAATGTGTATAATGATAATTAAATGCCAGAAACTAAATCCCGTAAACTGATGCCTAGCCGGCCGAGCTCCTAGCACCAATGCTGATTGTTTAAAACTGGTGATTGTTTTTAACACCATTAAAAACATGAAAAATGTAGTAAGCGAGGAACTTTTTTAATTTTTTGGTCAGGAAAAAAATCCTGCGGCAAAGTTTTGGATCAAAGTATGAATTTAATTTTTTATTTGAAGCTTTTTTTAATACGGTCTGCTTGTATCACAAGCGAAGGCATAAAATCGCTTGGCGCGGCATTGGCGCTAGGAGCTCGGCCGGCTATGGGCATCAGTTTACGGGATATAGATACTGAGTTTCTAGCATTAAATTATCATTATATTAAATCAATATCTCATTACATTACGAAGAATGGTAATTAAATTTACAAGCGCATGTTTATGCATTTTAATGCTTACCGGTAGTCTATAGTAAAAAAATTCTTAGAATCAAAGAATAAATGTTGGATTCCACATTTAGTATTTAATACTTGAGAAAATATTTTGTTATTGTTTTACTTCAGATAGAATAATCAATGAGATATTTGCATAAAATGTTATACACTCATTTTATTTAACAACATAATGTTTTCCAATCACGTTAATCACAGTATGACAACGAAACATACTATATAAACAAAATATATATTCTTAAATGTTGCAAAGTCTCTCAAGATAATAATTGGGCCTCACAGCAGCAAATGATGACATGCTTATGTGTTGTGCTTGTGGTTCTTATAACCCCCAAAGGGCCTAAACCGTTGCAGGTCTACAGTGTCTATGATGCTTAAAGCAAGCAGAATGTAATCACATAAAATTGTATTTTCTCAATATCTTCATAGTATGCATATCTTTACGAAAAAAATACATAAACAAACAGCTAGTAGTTTTTACATAATCTGCCAAAAACATGAACTGGGATTGTAAAGCAGCAAACTCATATGAAATTGCATTATTGTGCCATTTTTATTAGCCTAGGGATGGAAGTTATTAATCTCATCAAACACTCCTTATCTTCTCTTTTGAGCTCATATTATGAATGATCATAAAGTAAGCTAGTGATAGAAGAAGGCAGATGTCATCCCTTAAAATATTAGGTGAAACTCGATAGCAAATAATCGTTCCAACGAGGAGGGAGGTGGGCTGTACGTACACCCGGTGAATCAAAGTCGTAGGCTGGATAGAGCTTTAGTTCATTCTTATATGACGTGCTGCGAAATGATTGTATTATTCCGAGGATTTAAACAAAAATGTAAACTTAATTATACTCACCATGTAAGTATATATATGAATTTTAACGGATAATGTTTTGGCCTCTCGGGACCTCAAAATGAAAAAAGTAAATCGGCTAATCGGTACAGGTCGGTAAGGTCTTATCATGAGACATACGGTAATAGCTTATTCCCTGTATGGGAAATTCGCTAAAAGTAAATCGGTCCCTGGTCTAGGTCTTCCCATATGACCAACAGTGATAGAGTATTTCCTTCAAATAGGAATTGTAGTTGACGCAACTAATATTGTAGTTGATGAAAAAACATAATCGGAAACCATGGCTACACGTATCGGCTGTGGTAGGCCTAACGTTCAATCATAATCTCGATAAGAATTAAACAATTAATAATTTGTCCTTTTAAAAGCTACTCATATTCTTTGTTGCAGTAGGAAGGGTTTGTAAAGCAAAATCTTTTTAGAAAGTTTTTAAACATGAAATTGCAGTCTTTTTTCTTATGGAATCAAATTATATTTTGACATTCTCATGTATTTTTACAGTTCAACGTTTAATGTCTTATTTCATGAATTAAACCTATCCTCAGGATTCCGAGCACCGGTACAACTCCAGAACAAAAAATATACAAACAGCCTTTGCATTTGTGCTTAGTTACAGTAATGTTTGTCTATATAAAAACAACGAAATTACTGCAAACACTTGATTTTGCAAAACAATTTATTTGGTCAAAATGACAGTAATGATAAATGTATGCCAGCCTAGCATCGTTCTACCCATGTATTTGCATTTTCAATCCATAAAAATCGAGTGATCGGAGTGTGATACCACTTTTGAGGCGATACAATTAGCTACACATTATTCAGTCACACAATATTAATAAGCCTTATGTTACAAATCGATCCCCATTTTTGTTTCCAAGTCAAGGGCGTGGGTTCGAGCATTTTGTTATCATTGACCTGTAACGTTATTTGTGTAAAGTAATTTTATATCATACTACACATAAACAGGTACTTTTCCATCCGTATTGATAGGCTGGAAAGTTGCCCTAAGCCGAGCCTACACACGACAAAGCAACCTAATGTACTTTTATCGTGCACTGCACGGTAAAAGCTTTTTACCGTGCACTTAGTCAGATGATGAAATAAACAGCTAATTGCAACGGCCTATTTGATTTTCTGAAATATAAAAATATTATAATTTATGTTATGTCCTAAATAAATTGTGTTATGAGTATAAAATGTAGTATTTTTTCAGTGTAGTATGATGTAAAGTATCGGACGTTACTCGCCCGGTAAGGTTTACCGTACTCGTACGAAAATCCCGCACTCGGCTACGGGAACTGTCTTGCTCACACGGTAAAACACCACTTACCGGGCTAGTAACGTGATACTGTATACTATTATGGCCGAAACTTTCGTTTTACGTATGGGTTATCTGATGGGATCAAAACACACTCCTCTTTTGAACTGTTTTTTGCTGTATTCTAAAAACTGAATTATTTGTAGTTTGTATTCGATAAGATATGTATTGCAGATCAGATAATAAATAGTAACTCTTGTTTAAAGAGCAGCTAATATATTTGGTAATTAATACGCTACTAAGAAGTACCATATCATTCACATGTCAAAGTATTAGCCAAGTTTAGATTAAGAAAGAACTTTGTTCTTTTGAACTGCAGACAGAGTGTGCTGATGTGAAATAGTTGAAAAATCTGTCGTCTATACCAACTTAATTGTCTAGTCCTATAGTTAGGCATGAAAGTACCCCCACCTCGGGTAGGTCTACACTTTAACATAATTTATATCCCCATCAATATACCAAAATCAATTCTAATAGTCGAGGTAGTAATGCATTGTATCGATTAAATTGACTTATATCAATAATTCAGACCTTGCGTCACGAATAGATTAGTATGTTGCAAGAACTTCTAAAGTTTGCACGTAAAAAAGAAATTCATCAAATTAATGGTTTTGTTTCGCTTACCTTCTTTCCGACTAGGGCATGTGTTTATCAGATTAATTATGTAAATCCACAATAACGCAAAGTTCAGGGTAAGGAGTACTTGTAGTTGGTCTGAGAGAAGGCAGAAATCAAATATTTAATGCCTTTCTTCACATATAAGGCAGTGGATTACAAATATAAAGCCAAGATACGATACTTTAGTCCAAGAACTAGGACAGGTAAGGCACCTTAAGTGTAATTAGGATTTAGTTTTCCCATGTTTACTGTTCTTAATAGCTTTAATAGTGTTAAACGAATACATTGATACAATTTTAAATTTCTTTAAAATCTTAGGAAGTTTGTTTCAAATCGCAGATACCGTTTGTTAATTGTAAGTTGTATATTTTATACTTGCTTATTATTACTATTACTTAATGATTAGGTGTCCGTAATTATAAGGATCACTATTTCTGTATACAGTTATAAATTAGTCCAGACTTTTGAGAATGCTCATACTACTGAAGTATCTAGGAAAAGCCGTTATATCCACTAAACCATGTAGATCTGGACATAGCATAGATTGCCAGATATTTAAGTTGTGACATGTAAAGAGATAGTTTAGAAATCTAATAAAAATTGTTAATACTACAACAATTTTTACTTTTACAAGTAATGCCTTCTATTACGAATTCTACAATTATCTTCAAACACCAATTTGACAAATAAAACACATTTCTGTAGGAAATTTAATTTAATAAAAGAGCTCTGCATGATTTTGATCAATGATTGGTTTCAGATTTCGTCTATGGATTCCCATTTACCAGATAGTTTCCAGATCACCTTAAAGACAGCGAATCTGTTGATCTGGGCTTCAAAACCCATATCATTCTTACTTTCTCTCCTACGATTATCGGGTTTTGCGTTTTTCTTACTCACTACAATAGCTTGCCTCGAGAAAGATCATCTAAAAAACGCAAATTATATAACTTTGAATGACTCACTGATCCTTTTTGACATAATTTTGTTTGAATCATGTTACTTCTGGGGTAGAAAACGCTTGCGTTTGATTACAGAGAGATTGTCTGACCAAAAGAAACACCACCGGAATTCCAAAATCTCTGAAGAATACTACGAAAGCCAACGACTTTATTTGAAGGTGATGGTGACGACTTTCCTATTGTTTCCATTATTCTGTTTGTTTTCATTGCCTAAACATTCTAGCCTAGAGTGCGTTCAATTTTTCTTGGGACACGTTTGGCACTCAAAGTACGATATGTATTTCTATAGTTTAAATATAATCACAACGGTAACGGGATTGATAACGTCGATTGTGTGGAATTTCAGTATGTTTTCTATGGTAGCTTTTGTAAGATTTCAAATCCGTCTTCTAGTCGAGAATTTAAATCGCATCAACGAAACCACAGACATCTCAATGAATTTGCAATCCGAACATCTTGGCGAGTCTTTCAACTCAAGAAGTTCCAAAAAAGAAACAGAAAACCAGGTTCTTACAGCTGGTAACAAACAAGTTTTAAACGAAAAAGTAAATATTAAAGCTTTCCAAAAATACTTCTGGGGGAGAAGGTTAGAGAAGCAAGTTAAACTGTTTCTGAAGAATATAGTTGTCCAGCACATCCAAATCATTGAGTAAGTTAATATTGATACTAGTTAATTAAGGAATGCGTCTTGTAATTAAACCATCTTAAAGTTTATCTTTAAGCTTGAACTTGAACTAAAAAAAAACTGTTTTCATAATAAATATGTTAATGCTGCCTAATTATTTCAGACAATGAGTTTATAGAGCTACATAGTTTATATGTGGTCCGATATCTCCATGATGCTCTACGTCTACGATATCCCCTGGAGGTTTTTCACCTTTTTAAATTGTTATGTTTAATGTTAATTTTCCATGATATCCATAAAATAACGTAAAATCTGATTCTTACAAGAACGGCTCAAACGATTAGGATTAAACTTTAATATCTCATATTCCTTTTGTCCCTGAACCAAACGTTTCAACCCCCATCACTGTATCAACAATCTGACACTTTCCCCCATTAGCTTGTCAACAACCCTTACCATGGGTAAGCGATGAAAGTAACCAACTATGATATAATACGTAAATATCACAAAAGTTGCATTAACTTTTGAACCCTAGTTTTTACAGCAATAAGGGGTTGCACTATGTTTTTAAGAATAAGTACCACCACATACAAATTTCAATAAAAACTGGCTTTTTTCGAAAATACCATTTTCCCTTATTTCATTGGGGTTTTTTTTATGGGAAAGTAACATAATTTACAATAACTCTTGAACCGTAATTTTTACAGGAATGGGAGTTCTACCATTTTGTTCAGAATTTAAAGGGATAAACCATACTAAAGTTTTATCAAAATTGTTCGGGCTGTTTTTGAGAAAATCCACATTAATCTAAAATCCAAACACCGAATTTTTTTAGAAAATCGATGTTTTTCGCTATTTTATGGGTTTTTATGGGAAAATCCCCATTAAAAATAAAAATTTTCAAAAAATTAAAAAATAAAATCCTGGAGATACCATGGATCTACATACCAAATTTCATCAAAATCGGACCACAGGTGTAGTCTGTAGCTCTGTACACATCCACATATACGAACGCACGCACACACACACACACACTTATCACTTGGAAAACCACTTTTTTGGGTCCAGGAGGACCCAAAATGAATATATCCACTCAAAACTCAAACTCGAAAATGTTGTCGAAAACAATACTTTCTCCATATACTATTGTACAAAATTGTAATTATTACATCTTAAACAAAACAACAATGAAATACAAAGTAGAAGATCCCACTCCAGACGTAAGCCTATGCAGGGAAAACATTTGATTCCAATACATCAACATTCAAAATGAATTTGGAAGATATTACATTTTAGGTACTGTATATTAATCAGTTAGGTAATTTGAATGATAAATAAAAGCTTGTTGATTAAATTTGTCCATTTAATTACTACAAAATGTATTGTAAGGGACATACTCTCCTCGAAATACCAATTTTTATAGTTCTATTGATTTAAGATTTTAAGTGACAAATAAGAATCTCTCTATAGATTTTAAATTTTCAGCTCTTGTTAGTTGTCTACAGCTTGTTAGTAAACCAAAATCACCGGCATTGTACAGTTTGAATATTTTCAGACGAAATTGTTTTTCCAATCGATCATTTGCTTAATATACCTTAACCAAAATGTAAGGTTTTAAAAGCTGTCGTTCTTGTGTGACATAAATAAGTGAGTTTTTGATAGAAGAATTCTAATACAGTGATGAATAACTCAGATCAATAACTAGTAATAAAACAACATATTAACTGATGAATTAACACTACCTCATAATTTAATGAATAACTGGGTATAAACCAATTAACGCAACTACTATTTTGCGCCTAGGGATGTAAAACTAACAGAGGAAACCTTTCGATGGTGTATCTTATTCTACACCCAGATTGGAACCGTCATTGCAGCTTTTGGAATCTCACAGGTGCGTATACATTGTATCATAAGTGATAATTATATTAGTAGATATGTTTCCTTATTATTAAAAGTTACGAAGAAAATCTTATATGGATAGCTACCGTGACAAGATCTTTAGTGCCATATTTGAGAAAATAAATATATATTTTTTTTTAAATTAACATAAAAAAATATATTAAATTACGTTAGTAGTCTAGGAAACCCGCCCAAGACGAAATCGAGTGCAAGATTACCATACGATTACGGTAAACACATTTTGGACGAGTGACGTACGATATTTTTCACCATACTACTCTAAACTAAGCTAATAATAAAACACTGTACAAATTCGTTGTATATTCCCACCAACTTAAGGACTTCCCTCATAACTTCTAAGAGATGTTATATGCTTTCTTTTATAACCACTCATTGCCAATTATAATCAGCTGGTGACCTTTAATAGTATATTTCATAAACAAACTATCATTACATATTCGAGATTTGAAGTGCGAGATTTATTAGAGCACTTCTAATATCGTCGAGAATACGTAATGACCTACTTTCACTCACGAATACTAGGAAAGATCCGATATGGATCATAAAACATAAACAAATGATGTTTTTGGACCGAAAGTAAACAAAATTATATGTTTGGTAATGCCATGGCTTTGCCGTTGTTCATTAGTTAATTTCAATTATCAATTATTAATGTAATAATATGCAGATGTTAGATTTAAAACTGTTTGATTGTTTACTTTTCTATGTTAAAATTTTGAATGTTCTTTCAAATGAGAGAAATAACACTATAATTATAATAACATTATAATTAACATTATAATAACATTATAACATTATGAGATTGTAATTTTATCTTAGTTAAATAACATAGTTTTTCATAAAGTCTAATGTATTTTCAATAATTAAAACACGTTATTAAAACATGGCGCAGTCTTCTAATGAACCTAATGTTTCCCTTAATGTGACTGATGAAGATGCAACTCCCCTAAAAGTGAAACCACCTGAACCTTTTTCCTTCAACCCAAGTAAATGGACAATATGGAGGAAACGTTTTGAAAGGCACCATTCATTGAGCAGACTTATAGAAGCCAATGGAAAACAAGAGGCAGATATGCTAATTTACTGCATGAGGGAAAAGGGTGAGCAAATACTTGATTCATTTAAACTAAAAGAATCAGATGTAAACAATTACGATGTTATTTTGAACAAGTTTGAACACTATTTAATTCCAAGAAAGAATATATTTTTCGAAAATAGCTAAAGGTGTCTTAAGGGAAAACAAAGAAGACCCTTACCTTGCACTCCTTTCCTATAGGAACACACGGCTTACAGCCAATGGGCTTAGGCCAGCCCAACTTCTGTTCAACAGGACATTACGAGATAATCTACCGGTCTTGCTACAGAAACTGACTGAGAGACCTGACTTATCATGTTTCAAAAAGAGGGCAGAAAAATACAGAGCTGCATACAAAAATCAATAAACATCACGGTACCAGGGATTTACCCGAGCTGCAACAAGGAAAAAAGGTATGGATCCAAGATCCAAAACGCCAGGGTACAATAACAAACCTAGCCAATGAACCAAGATCTTATTGGGTAACAATAAAAATGGTACTGATAAAAATACAATCCGCCGACACCGATACCACCTGATCCCGTACAAAAACCAAACCAATTCTATATAATCCACCAGCAAGTATTCATCACCTTCCTTTCTCTCAAAATAACGATCACCCTACTCAAACTTCTGCAAACTTAAACAATGAACAGAACTTGCTCAAAACCCCTACTTCTCAATCAAATAACAATAGTAAGAGTAATCAGAAAACATTACAATCTCGATCAATGTCTAAAAATACAAATACGCCAACTTTCAGTACGAGGTTATTTGTAAATGACAACCATCCTACTTCACAAACCTTGGCAACAAAGTTTGGCAGACTGGTAAAACCTGTAAAAAGGTCTATATATTAATTTGAAACTGTTTTACTTTGTGACAGCTAATTTGGGAGAACGCCTGGGCGTGGAAACTCGGTAGGGATCTCTAAAGAAAGGTCTTGGTCTGTAGATGAGCCATCAAAAGAGAAATGTGGTAGATTCCCTTAGGGCTCTGCCCCAGTGGCCTTTAAATTCCCATCCCATGTTATTCTTATGGAGGAAAAACGGGTTTTTTGTCACAGCTAATTTCAGAGAACGGGCATAGAAACTTGGTAGGGGTCTCTAAAGAAAGGTCTTAGATGAGCCATCAAAAGAGAAACAAGGTAAATTCCCTTGGGGCCTTGTCCCAGAGGCCTTTAAAGTCCCCTCTTCAGATCTGTTTACATCACGACCATATGCATACATTTAATGAAACAGCTGTTAATATTTAAATTGTTATTTACTAAATTTGTCAAAATGAATTATTTGCAATGGTTTTTGCTGATTTTAAAATTGATTTTTTTCTGAATCGTGCTATGTTTTGCAATATAATGTTCTTTTACCAAATCAGTGGAAAATCCTAATATCAAAGTAACTCTTAAAATTATTTCTTATGGAGTTAACTTATATCTATTGTATGGGTTGGTTTCTGCCTTTTTTACCACTTCTTGGAGATTGCACGTAGACGATATTCTTTGGTGTATTGTATCTGTAGTAGACGATACTTGGTTGGTGTCATTTTAAAAATTAAAATGGAAAAAAGCGAGAAATTATGGACAATTTGATATACTAAAAATAAAACTGAATTAACACTGTGCTACATTTCTTGAGCAATAATTGAAAGAGCCGATTTGCAAACAATGGAAACAGGAAAGTCATAGAACACAACCAAGTATAGTAGAAGAAATAGAAATAATGTTTTTTTTTTTTTCATTTATAATCGTTATTATAGACAACCTAATGCGGCTATGAGTGGGAAACATTTGTAGAAAACACTAAAAAACAAGGCCAGCTTTTGAAAAAAGATAAGATATTTACAATAAATTTTTATTATATCTAACTGTTGTGTACATCTTGAGTATTTCCATAATCTTTGAGTTGACTATTATAAAGTCATCGGAAATTATTTTAAATAACGCCTGTAATGCTTTGCAATTACTCGAATTCGAGCAACAGGTACACTAGTATTAGTGAAACTGAAAGGGAGAGATGTTGTAATAATATGCAGATGTTAGAATTAACATATTATGTTTGCTTGTTTACTTTTCTATGTTTATATTTTGAATGTTCAATGTTCAAACAAAAACATATAAAATAAAATGAAGTATTGTTGTACCTTTAGCATAGGGATATTTCTCAATGTCTTCAATGAGTAGCCCTAAACCACGTAGTTGTTAATTGTCAACGAATTGAGCTTCGCAGATATATTAACCCTTTTTATTCTCATTAGCTGTTTCAGAGTACAAACTCTCCAAATTCGGAAACTTTTAGAATTGGGTTCATCCTTTTTAATGGGCTAGGCTGTATTAAACTCTTAAACTATTTTGGACAAGTTTTGCAAAATGAGGTAAGTGTTATCAACGTGTTATCAATGTAATGTAGAAGTGGATCGATAAAACAAAAACAAAAAAAATCAAGCACATCTTAAATAATAAAGAATTATTGCAACTATTTTTAAGTCCATAATTATTCTTACTTGTAAATTATTCATGGATTCACTCTCAAATGCCTTATGATAAATACAAATTGTTTCATAAGTTTTATGAACTAAATTAAAAAGAAAAACTTACAATTACTAGTTAAGGTTTTGTCACAAAACATATTTTTTTATTTATAAAATAACACTAATGAAATTACAGTATTTTTTACTTTGTACTTTGACTCATCCAAAATAAGGACTTGTTTGTTTGGGCTAACATATTTATAACAATACCTAATAGCTTACTCATTCCCACAAGAAACATACCGAAAACCTAAAGGTATTTTGCTTTCCTGATTTCATTTGCTCCATCAAAGCTATGATATAGTAATTCCAAAGCCAAAGCATAGCTATTTTTTTATGAATTCCACTATTCGCAAATGCCCAGTTTGAATATCTCCAAAAAATTTGTAAAAATAAAACACATCAGTCCATAAATTTATAAGGATAAAATGAAAATGACACACAATGGTTTAGCATTTTATTTTGTTTTCAGTCTGAAACGTTGCGCCAAGCTTTGTACAACTGTGACTGGACGGACAAACCTCACAGTTTGAAAAAGGGACTAATTATCATGCAGACAGTAGCGAACAGACCTCTCAAACTGACTATTGGGGGTATCTACTCACTCAACATGGAGACATTTGCTAGTGTACGTCTTTAAACTATTTAAACCTTTTGGGATTATAGGTATATAACTGGCTGTGAACCGAGTGGTTAAAGTTAAAGTGCTCGCCTGACAATCGAAAGATCGCCGGTTCAACAAAAGATAAGATATAACTTAGTTCTCACTCTTATGGAACAGCTGAAGCAAATGTTATTGTTAGTTTTGTACGTTGCACTGTAGAGGTCGTGTTTTGTTTACAATTTATTTCTTGTTATTTTAGTAATTTAAAACCTCGTTTAGCAAAATAACACGATTTAATCATAAACAATAACTGGTTTCCTAGTTATATAATTAAACAGTAACGCACAAATCATGAAAATAACCAGAAAATAATAGAGACAAGACTTCGTCTACACTAGCGATCAGTGTCGATGTACATGAACTAGACACGAAAAACGAGCTTCAGCATTTACAATGGGATGGGAAGTCTACAGTCTATGGTAATGCAATCCCAGTGATTACTATAGCAAAATAACGAGCACGACATGTCATTCGCTATTATGTGCAACTTACTATCTTAACCATATTTAAAATGTTGCCTCATTATCCCGCGTTAATATCAACAAGTTTCAAAATTAGGTACTGTTTCGGTCCCAATCTATGGTTAAACCCGTAGAAAAGTCAGTAGCTTTTTGATGGTTTGAAACTGGACAAGGCTGACCCTAATCATTGGGCTTTAAATAAATCATCCTGACTAATAAAGAAGCTGGTCTTAATCAGTAATAGCATAATCTATATCTATATCTACTAGAGGTCGTTCACTGGTCGAAAACTCGACCAAAAATATGTAATGTATAGACTTCTCTTTTAGTTTCACCCTACGCTGTAAACAAACATGTTATTGGAATTTCCGGTGGGGCACACGGAAGATTTCTCAGGTACCGTTTGACGTCACTAACTGCTGACGTCACTAACTGCTGCGTCTGAATACAGACAATTTTATAATTTTTCTATTATTAAATTAAACTGTCATAACCTAACCAAACTAACCAAACGTGCCGATAATGGAAAAATCGAATAAAGGTTTACTAATCTAAAAAATAGTTTTGTTCATAAAATGAAATTATAAATGCCTAAAATTGAATTTTATAATTTTTTAATTATAAAATTAAACTGTCATAACCTAACCAAACTAACCAAATTTGCTGATATGAAAAAATTGTTGTCAAAAAGTCAATGCTTCCAGCGAGATTCGAACCCAGTACAATAGGATTATCAGCCCAACACGCTATCCACTACACCACCGAGGCCGATGGCTCATACCGTATCGTTGCGGTATTGGTGTTCCCTCAAAGTGACATCAGCAGTTAGTGACGTCAAACGGCACCTGAGAAATCTTCCGTGTGCCGTTTCGTTGGAATTTCTTCCATTTGTTTTGATTTTCTGTTTATATTGCGTTGTTATTTCGTATCCAGCATGACAACCCTTCAGTCCATGTTATTTTATTCTAATTTAAAATTAAATTTTTTGTGCTTATTTTTTACCCAATTTAATTTAATGAAGGGATTCTGCTCACATACAGAAAAATATCTTTATAACAGTATGCGTAGATTTTTTCCTGCGATGCAAACGAGCTGAGAAAAAAGGGTTTAAAGGAACATGCATGCCTTTTAAGGCTGCTTGCCAGTAAGGAATCCATACACGCTCACTTGGTGAGGTAAATAATTTTTTCCAGTTCTGCTGCAACTCATTTTGGAAGGGAAAATACATGAAGAATATACACATTGTGTCACGGTGGTAAAGTAAGCTTGACTAATATCAGATTTTTTGTTTCAGATAATGAGTGCCGTATACTCGTACAGTGGGTTGACCCATACCCTGATAAACAGTTATCAAGATATATAAATGTCAAAGTGGGATGCAAACATTATGGCGTTTTTAATGTCCTGCAAAAGATTTGTATGCACTCTTTTCACATTCTAGGATGCAAAGGTACCTCACACGTTCTTACGGAAACAATTTAAGTTGTTTTAATCCACGTTTCCAGGAACCACAGATAGTATTTTTTATTCCTTACAATTCTATGAATTTACATCTGGTAGTCCGTGATAACACTTTTGGTCATAAACAGAGTGTCCCAGAACTCTCTAACAATAATGTCCTTAGTTACTCACACAGCTGCCACTTTGTTTTTACACTTATTAATTATTTTCTAAAAAGTGGTTAAAGATACGAAATTGAAACTTTGCACAAACATTTATGTCAACTAAGGAAATCTGCAAAAAAATATTTGTGGAAAGTTTCAATTTCGTGTCTTTAACCACTTGTTAGAGATGAATTAATAAGTGAAAAACAAAATGGCGGCTGTGTGAGTAGCTAAGGACTTCCGGACAATTTAAATATGATATTTAGATATGTTTCTTACTCAGGAACAATGCCCTAAAATATTGGCAGATAGTTCCGGGACACTCTGTATATATATTCTGTACTTTTCCCCTATTTGTCACTTTTAGTTTAGTTTGCATTTGCGATGGTTATTTTACACGATCAAAAGCTTTCAGAAAGATCTAACTTCACATTGTTATATACGGAGTTAATATTAAACATTTCGTTTAAGACATTAACCACACGCAGTTTGTTTCAGTGTATAAACTGGGTGGTTCTCAAATTAATTAGAGTGTACTTTTATGTCTGTTTGTAATGTAAATGTCTGTTAAATAAATTCAAATTTGAATTGAATTGAATTTATAGTTTGTTCCTCTTTTATCCTTTCTACCTTTTTCATACAAAAATGACTGCAGTAGTCACAAACAGTGGAGGTTGGAGGTGTCCAAAATCGTATACAACATTAGCTTACCCCGTCGTGGCTTCGCTCACGAAAATTTAAGTTAAACATATTTGACCGCTTAAGTTAATTAAATCAAGAGAGAACTTCTTCATTTACAACATTAATTGTCCTTCTATTCGGACTGCTCACTCTGAAACTGCCTACATAATATTTTGGCCAGAAAACTATTCCCGCTGTATCTGCTTTTACATAGGTTTACATGCTTAAACCTTATTTTCCAATATTAGGCCTGCTGTCAGATCTCCCAAAACTTTGTTGGGAAGTTTATGTCTTATCTTAAATTAACATTAAGTGACATAAAAACCTTGCACGATGTTTTATTGTGGTTCTTATAACCCTCAAAGGGCCTAAACAGTTGCAGGTCTACAGTGTCTATGATGTTTTAAGCCAGCAGAATGTAATCACATAAATGTGTCTATTCTGAATATCTTAAGAGCAAGCATTTCTTTACAAAAAAAAAACAAAAACAGCTAAAAGTTTTTACATTATCAGCCAAAAACATTAACTGGGATTGTAAAGCAACATACTCACCTGAAAATGCATGATTGTGCCATTTTTATTAGCCTAGGGATGGAAGTGATTGAACTTATCAAGCACTTTTGATCTTCTCTCTTGAGCTCCCATTATAAATTATCATGAAGTAGCCTAGTGAAAGAATAAGGCAGATATGATCCCTTAAAATATTAGGTGAAACTCGATTGCAAATAATCGTTCCTTTGACATTGATATTCTGAACATATTAAATAATATACCTACTGTTATATAGTTGTTGAGAAGCAGATCTTAAAAACAATAACAAAAGAGTACATCTTGATTTTTAAATTAATTTATCGATTACAGAAAAAGTTTTAAGTTACGCAGTTAAACTAAACACCAATTATTTTCAAGCCACCAAATAATGCAAATATTTAAATTTCAATCAAATAAATACAACCAGCTGTTCCCTTAGTTTTTAGTATAAAATTCTAAAATATTCGTCTGTTCAAATTTAAACAAACCAATTCTCTAGAAGGATAACATGGGAACTTTAGAGACCTCTGGGGCAGAGCCCTAAAGGAATTTCTTGAAAACGCTTCTCATTGCACATCTAAATCCTAATTAGAATCTCCATGCCAATTTCCGAGTTTTTAAGGTTAGTAGTTTTTAAAATACAGTTATCAGTGAGTCAGTGAATGGTATTTGACTTTTATAAGTATAGATAGAAGATAGCAGAAGCTGGGCGATAAAGGCTCATTATTGGCCAAGTCTGGTTAAGTTGCTTTTAGGATTATTTACAAAAAAATTGGAATATCTGACAAATTATAATAAATTCCAACGGAACTGTCTTAATTCTAAAGATAAACATACATCTTGAAGAAGTCAAAACACATTATCTCGATAACAAGAAATCGTCCCCAAATACTTAAAGGGGGTTTTGTTTTGTTAAATAGTTATGATATTTTTCCCTTTGTTCTTAAGTAGTAATACATCAGTGTGTATTTTACACACGTGTATTTTACCAGCTCGTGTTTCATATTTATAACTGATTCTTATGGTTCGTAAATATTTTCTTGGTTGGTTTGTTCTTTTTGATACATCAGTGTTATTTTCAAACATTTCGGTTAAATAATGGATATTTTTTGTTGTGAATAAACTGAAAGTTTCATATTGAATCTTTTAAAAGTTTACACCCACATATTATTCATGAAATATTAACGGTAGGTCTTAGTTACATCATCCACTAACTGAAATTGTTGTCTTTAATGTTGAATGTCCCTACTATTTTACTGAAATAACTTTTCATGTTTGACTTTATGATCTTTTGACGGGTAAAGTATTTCTACAATACAAACAAACAATACGCTGTAACACAAAAAGCATATATTTGAAAGTTCCTGTTTTGTTTGCGCTTTTTGAGTGCACTACTTATTGTGGTCAGCCAGAGCTTATTTGATCGATGTTGGGTGTTTTACTGGCCTAGTGGATAGCATGTCGGATTACAGCGCAAGAGTTGCGGGTTCGTTCCCCGTCTTATTCATAGAAGTTAGAACAGCTCTCATATGTTTAACTCTCTACGAAATTTCACTATGGTGGACACTAATAAAAAATATGGACTGCCTAAAGAAAATTTGACGTACCCAAACCCTATTGGACCACTCAAATCCTCTTCCTTTTTTTCTTCTTACAACTTACAATGATGATTTTTCGTAAAACCCTCCATAGCCCGATTCAACCATGAATGACAGCATGAATGAGCTCTTGGAATTCCCCAACTGGATCTGTGAAATAAGAATTCGCGGAGGGGGGAAACCAGACAATCCAAATTAAATGACGACGGCGGCGTCCTTGAAGGTGGTCTTGGGTAAGCTAGACTTTCACCTTTAGTTCGCCAGTCGGCCGTTCGGCGCGCTGCAACACTTTCTCTCGATCATCTGTTCTCAGTCCTATGTGTGTGTCATGGCGGTAGACGTGTTCCAAGTCGGGATTTCGATTTGTTTGTGTTTTTTGCTAACTGGATTCGCAGGTGAGTGTCAATATTATGGTAAAATTAGGAAAGAATCAAAGTGAAAGTTGGTTTCCTAGGAATGTCCCTCGGAGATTGAGGTTAAGTATGTAGGACGCTGATAGTGTAATCTAACATGTTTTCGGTTATGCTAGGAATATCATTAGTTGACTCAATTGTTTAAAACGATTAAGTAGATTCACCGTGAAATTTCGTTGGTAAATCACTCACATTTTTGTCGAATTTATCATAGTGAAAGCTCGGAAAAGGTCCATTAGTATGGAGCTTGACGAGATAGCTTTTAAAGAGAGACTTTAATGAGTGTGTTGAAGTAAACATATGTGTATATTTGGTTTTTACAAGTCAATATGTAGATTTTAAGTGAATACCATAATGGTTGGCATGTATAGCAGTCAAAATCGAATGAATAAACAAATTTAGAGAGGAAACTTTTTATTGCATCATGCGTTAGTTTTTTTTAAGTGTTGGATTGTACCTAATATTTAGGCTTCGTATTGATACATATACACAGTAATAATTGATTACTAATAAGATAATAAGTCTTGCAACTTAAACAATAATTAGATTTGTTGATTGTCTGCATTACTTTTAAATCACAGATTCTGTGTGGGAAAGATTTATTTTTTAATACAGAGATATGTATACTACAAATTTGTACAAAATGATACTACATATTATACAGTGTGTGTTAATGTCTAAACCCCGTTTTAGTTTATATGATTACCGATACGAACGAATAGTAAGATAAATCATCCCAAATAAGATTGATATAGGTACAGTTAATTGATTTCTTGTTTTTGACTACGAGATTAACGTTAAATCAAGTACCTAATTTGCCAGTGGCAAATCTCTCTAAATTGCTGTACTGTACTTGAGTTGACAGCTGTTATTTATTTGTGGAATAGATTTATCGGTTTATCTAAATAGTATTGTAACGTATATCAAACTAAAACCAATGTTGCACATTATGTCAATTTAGCACATTTAATAACCAAGTCATTGTTTGATCCAAGAAAATGTTCCAGATATTTACTTGAATTTTTGATAGGAAATAATGGTACAATTAATGCATTTATTAGCTTGATCTTTTGAAACATCGTTATTTAAAAACAGGGCGAAATAAAAAAAAAACTATCGACCATAATGTTTAAATTTATCCTTAACTTGAATTTAAACTATTACATTGATTTGTTTATTTTCGTGCGCTTCTTCTATTCTAATTTTTTATCTCGTCTAGATAAGCAATAATTTAATTGTATGTTTCATCTCTAGGATGTAAAGTGACTCTTTTCGACACTTTTTGCCAGTGTGATAACTAAACTTTTTGTCAAAACGCAACATTAGTTACCGTAACACACTTTGTTAGAAAACATTTATTAAAAGACATTTATGGAAAGATAACCTCTCAAAACCACCTTTGACTGGTTTTTAATCTTGCTAAAGCAAATAAGTGGCTGTTTCCTGAGGTATTCGACCATTTTATATATATTTCGGTTGTGTTGGTGCCCCATTCATCTGTTGAACTATTGTCAAGAATGCAAAAAAGAGCTGTAACCGAATAAATTTTTAAATAATTGTATACATGCGTTTACTTACAATCGAGGTTTACAACTCTTTACAACAGCTGATTTTTACTACCAAGGACTAAAAGTATTACTTTTAGAACCCAACGCTAAACCTGCTGTTTTTGCTGCAGTAAGACGAAAAACTTATTAGTAAGTTTGGAACAGCTGATTGTATACATACATAGCATATTATTTCCTGCAGGATATTTTTTAAATTTCTATTAAACCCTTTAGAACAAAAAACCTTTTAAATTCGTTAAACATGACTTCCATACTTTGCTTAAATATGAAGCAGATCTTAGTTATTACTATAGTATGTATACAATTGTGGAAATAGTTGACGAGAGAAGTTGTCAAAAAGAAAACTAAGCCTATTGAAACCCATATGATTATAGACTTAGACAATAGTTAGTTAGTTTTGTTTTTTTTTATTAACTTGTTAATAGAGATAAACATAACGTACACGATCACAGCTTCTTCCTTGATTGGAGGATTTAGATGAAATTCAAAAACATCTCTACTTAAATCAGGCTACATTGAAACATTGACTTAGGTCTCACTAAAGATTTATGTCACCACTGATAACTAATACTCCAAAGTTTAGTTTAATTTTGTACTTTTACTAACTGAATTAGACATATCATACTTATAGATATGCTGTATCATTTTTTTATCTAATTGGGGAAAAATACAAGACACTCTTACAGTGCCCAATCATACAAATTCTATTTCCTCTCATAATTTACAATAATTTGATGTTTCATGTTACATTGAACACGCTAGTCAACGTTAAGGTGTTCTTTCAGTTTGACTTCGATAAAATAGGTTTTGTATTCAACAATCAGTAACTAATAGAAACACTCTCTGTCGGTGGTTTCATTCTTCAACGTTTCTTTTCATTCTATACTGGCAGCAATGTTAATATGGGAATGGAGTGTCTAGGTGTATCAGTAGTCATTGGTATGGAACTCAAACTTAACACGCCTCCACCAAGGTTCAACGTAAAACTTGTAACTAGCTCTAAACAATCCGTTCACATCGTCTATCCTTCCAAGAAACAAAGGATAGTTTCCCTAATGGAGCAATAAATAAAAGTAAAATAACTATTTATTTCTAACACGATCAGCTGTCCTTGAGTATGTCACAATGGCACTCACAAAAGTTTATTGGATTTGCTTACATTTTCTTGTTTGTTGAAACCTCATGCCACGAGTTTGCATTTTATTAAATGCTTGGATTGCAGCCGGATCTTCGTGCTGCTTCACGAGGCATTTACACGCGTGCTTGACTCCACGCACACACTCACACAGACACATTAATGGCGTCATATATCACCTGGGGATTCCCATGTATATTGAGGGGACTCGATATCTCAATACTTCTCGTTTTCTTCGCATTAAAGATCATTATCGCTTTACTTTTGCAATGTCTAATATGATAGATGAGCTACAATGAATATTTACTATTGATAAAAGTATAAATCGTAATTCAACATAAAAGGTGTTGAAGGATTTAAATTAAAATTAACGTAGTTGATTACAATTGACTAATGTTGTCTATGCTAATGGCAATCACAGATTTTTGTTAAATACGCCATCTTTTTAACCAAGCCAAACCAGCACAATTTATTGTAACCTATAGCATATTGTATGAAACGTCAGCTATTGTTAGGACAAAGAACTCTGACAGTGGCACACTCTCATGAGGTATTCTAGAAGTGGTTCTTTTGCGATTTTCTACTTCTGGATGCGAAAATCAATTATATAATCGGCCATCGACAAGGTAATAGGGGATAAATGCAGTAGGGCTATTAGGCAATAGTATTGGTCTGGGATAATAAACATCACATCATATTGTAAACACCGTTGTGGATGCGTGATTCATGCCCGGTCACGGTTGTATGCACTATTGTTGACTAAATATTGCTATTGTATTTTAGAGTTAACTTCAAATTATGAGCAAATGCCAGAAGATAAGTAAAGACATAGAAAAAACATACTTCCTTATATTAGTAGATGTCTCTCTCTCTCTTCCATATGGAACAGCTGAAGCCAATTTTATTAGCGAATTTCCCATTTAGCTTATTTATTTATTTATTTATAGCAAAGGGAAATTCGCTTAGTCTGCAGATTTGCTGCGGCAGGGATATTTTTAGTTCTGTCCGGTGAACTATAGAGGTCATGTTTTGTTTGCAATTTGTTTCTTTACCTTCCTGTCATAAAAATGTCGTTTAACCAAATAAAACTATCCAATCATAAACAATAACTCGTCCCTTAGGTGCATAAGCAAACAGTAAAGCATAAATAATGAAATTAACCCTAAAATAATATAAATAAAATATCGTCAATACTAGCGATCAGTGTCACCGGACATGAACTAGACACTAAAAACAAGCTTCAAAATTTACAATGGGATGATAAGTCTACTTGTGTTGATTAGTCTATGCTATTGGATACTTAAGTAGACATCCCATCTATATGGACCAGCTGTCGTTAATTATTTAATTAATAAGAACTTAGTTGTGTGAACCCGTCACAGAATGCGCTAGTGTATAAAATGTCATTTAGTACCTCATATTTTGTTGCTGGCATAGTTTATGGACCATAACAGTTGCTATAGATCACAATAGGTCGTTTCACAGGCTTGGCTCGGTAAAAATGTTTTTGTATCCAACAGAAATCAGTAATTAAGTTCAGCACAACCTGTTGGTAGCTCAGATCAACTATGACGATTTTGATTAGAAATGGTGACAACTTTATGGGGATGGGATGTCTTGTTGTATGAATAGTCAAAGCCAGTATTAAAACAACCAATAAAGTAGAATAGTTCATCCATATCCTTTGTGGAGTTTAGAGGTATAAGCTATTTTTTCTAAAGATTTCAGAAACAGATAACCACGCTTATAACAGGAAATACATTTGCTATAATAGTAGTTTACGCAACGATTGCGTTAAGTGAGTCTTTACGACACGAGTAGAAAATTTAAGGCACGAGCATTGGCGAGTGCCTTAAAAACTTCTACGAGTGTCGTAAAGACTATTAACGCGAGTTGCGTACACTACTTTACCTACGACCGTTTTTTAATTACTATCAATCTGGATTTAATTACTCATTTCATTTCATTTCATTTCATTTTTATTAAACGGCAAACACCATTTTACAAGTGGGTTTAACAAGATTACTAACAAATAACTACAGCTAAATGTTGCTAAATGTTGTTATTGATGTTGTTGTTAATTACTAACAATAACTACTGATAACTTTTTAGAGAGGTTATGTTTTCGTGTATTTTCATTGCCACTGAAAGTGATGCAACGACTTGTTGTATAATCAGCTGATTTCCTGTAATTACGTGTTTGTTAAACTTCGTTAAATATTACCATAGACTAGCCAACACAAGTAGACTTCTCATCCCATTGTAAATTTTGAAGCACGTTTTTCGTGTCTAGTTCATGTACGTGACACATGGGCGCTAGTGTTGACGAAACTTTGTTTCTATTATTTTAGGGTTAATTTCTTGTTTTGTGCTTTACTGTTTGGTTATATAACTAGGGGACAGGTTATTGTTTATGATTAGATCGTATTATTTGGTTAAACGAGGTTTTAAATGGCTGTAATAACGGGAAACAAATTGTAAACAAAACACGACCTCTACAGAAAACCGTACAGAACTAACAATAAAATTGTCTTCAGCTGTTCCATAAGGATGAGAAATCTACTAAGGGAGTATGTTTTATCTATGATATTACATTGCTAGCAGCATTCTTACCATAAATAATATTGTGTCAGGTACAATTCGGCAAATATTTCATTTATTTTTGGACTTCCATCAACTTAATTAAGAATACGCGAGTATCAACATGAACAAGTCGGATAAACAATTAAATTGGTCAACTGATCGATCAGCTGATCAGCTGATTAGTTGACGTTCGAAGCATTACAATTTTAATTCTTTTCTCTCAAATACTTGAACCTCATTGGTCCGTTACCTGTGTGGATATGAGAAAACTATGCGGATATGAAATGAAACTATGCGGATATGAAAGTAAACAGCTGTAAAGTGAAACTTTTCAATTCTAAGAACTGGACTGAAATAGCTACTTTAAAAAACGGTCGTAGGTAAAATAGTATCTCAGACGGCCGATGAATGCTTAAAAGGATAAACATTACTTCAGCAAATTCTAAATATACTGTCTCAACATTTCAGAAAAATACTCTCAGCTGAATTTAAAATTTACAACCATATGACGGCCAAAACAAACAAACATTCACACAACGCCAAAGTAAACATCCACTTTAAATTCACCGTGATATTTTTACACTTTTCACTTCACAAAGGAAATTTAACTACTCCTAAATAGATTGAAGATATTTCTAAGATTTGTGCGCGTGTGAGTACTATTGTGCAGAAACATCCCAAATGTCGTTTGCTAGAAGATTGCACAAGGAGTTAGCTGAGCTGAGGGATGCAGATTTGCCCTACTTTACCAACATACAAGTAGATGACGCTAATGTGCTCGTCTGGAGAGGACTTCTAGTACCAAAAGACCAACCCTACAACAAGGGAGCGTTTATTGTAGAGTTTAACTTTCCGCCCGAGTACCCTTTCAAACCTCCACAGGTATGCAAACTCCTCCGATTATGATTCCAGAATTGTTTCTAGTTAAATTGTTGTTAATACATTTTATAGGATAGTTTGTTTACGTAATGATTTCTCAGTGTGTTATACAAATACTGTATTCTTTGATACAGAGGTTACAATGTGGATAAAGATTTCAAAAACATACTTTCTTCGTATGCTATACCTATCAAAAATCATAAACTAAACTTACGTTTTCCTTATTGCAATTCTCATATTTTAGGCAAACTACGAACAATTTTAAATGAAAGGTTTACTTTAGGTTAATTTACTCTTTAACAATACTTATCTGGCAACTTGTTTTGAATTTGGTGTACCGGTAGTATTACAGTCCAATAGTTATTTTACTCTTGACATTATTGAACATGACAACAAAGTCATTTGCGCCCAGGTTTGTTACCTCCTTATACGTATTCCCTTAAAATCAATAGAAATTAGCTACCTACTTAATTTGAAAATAAAATTACTTAATTTAATACTTAATACTCACCCATTGCGCAAAAGACCTGGATTTTCGTTCCAATTTATCAATTTAAATTTTAAATTTTTTAAGAATATTTGCGTTTAAAGTCAACTAGGCCTAGTCTATAATAAACTAGGCTTAAAAGGTTTGCAATACAATTCAGCTAACAGTTTCATTCTCAAGTTGAACTTTTATTTGTGTCAGGAAGTATAAAAATAACATTTTCAATATTTACACCACAGGTAACCTTCAAAACGAAAATTTACCACCCTAACATTGGTGAGGACGGCCAGATATGTCTACCCTTACTGAGTCCAGATAACTGGAAGCCTTCCACAAAGGTGGACCAAGTTATAGAAGCTCTGGTAGCCATGGTAAACTGCCCTGAGCCCGAACACCCCATTAGACCCCAGCTGGCCGAGGAGTTTGTCAAAAATAAGAAAAAGTTTTTCAAAATCGCGGAAGAGTTTACTGTGAAACACGCTGAGAAGAGGTCGAGGGCGTCTGTGTCGTCTACAAAATAGTGTAAATCGTGTAATTACTCGTAGAGTTCCTATGTCGTTCATTGTAATTTATATTTTATCCTGACTATAGTAAATTATATAAAAATTAGGATTATAGGTGTGTTTAGTAGTTCATACTTTAATATGCATACAATAAGACAGAACTTATTGTGTACGTAGAAATACAAGATTAGGCCTACGTAACTAATTTAAAAATTGAGTGAACGGAATGTTGGATAGCTAAACAGTGTTAGCCAAACGGTTAGGAGGTCCCGATTCAATCCTAAGACAATTCAGGGGATTAATGATGGATCAAAACCGAACCAAACTATCCCTGGTTGAGCTATTCAATCCATTAAACTTTTAATTGTTAAAACCTGATTCAAAAAAATCCCACACAAATTTGCTGCAATATTAAAATATCCGTCAGTGGTAAAGGTCCTAGTTAGCAAATCATCATATTTCGATTTTTAATAATAAATGGGGACGACGTTTACTTATATCCATTCAACAATTATATGATTACATATTTAGCCAAAAATAGGCACGATCGCTTTCTTATTCAAGTGTTAAAGTGATAAAATAAGAATTTTAGTTTTTTTCAACATCCCCTGGAAGAACTGAGCCTTTATAGGCTTTAACAGATAATTAGATTCAATCGTTAAGCTAGGCTACATAGAATAATTTCAAAAGAATACTCAAATGTCGAAGGTTGGCAACAGTTAAGCACATTTGTTGGTTTGTAAGGCAAACATGATTACATCTGATGGGTGATTGTGCAAGGCTTATCGCACCACTTGCACAGAGAAGATGCATCGTTTTTCTCTCATCTGTTACCTGAGGAAGGTCGCAGTAGCGGTTTCGAAACGTCGAGTCCTGCGTTTCGTCAGCTCGTCACGGTCGGAAGCTTCTACAAGTCTAAGTGCGCCTCAGTAACTTGGACAGGTGCGTTCCACATTCCGTAATTCTACAGGTCTAATAGTTCCCCAGTTCCAGTATTTCAATTTCACTGTTCCAAGTGTTCGCATCGCACATATCACACTTTTAAGGCCCTTTGTATTTTTTCCGAGTTCCCGAGTTTTTCAGTATCCAATATCAAACATACAAGTTTTAGCCTAGTATTCCACAGTTCCAAGTTTCTTAAGTGTGCCCCTTAGTCTCATAGTTCCATTTTTAGGCATGCCACTGCTATAGTTGCGTTTATCAGTGCCTTCAGTGATATTCTGGGGTCTGATCCAAAATACCACTATTTCAGTCCTAACCAAAACTGTTTATGACATATTTAGGAGCATACGTGCGATGCTAATTCCACTATTCCTCAGTTCCAAAACCTCTGGCTCTGTTCTATTGTTTACTTAGACTGCAGTTCACAGTGTCTTATACTTTCTTGGTTCTAAGGTTACAAAGCAATATTGTCATGTTCCTCAGTCACTTATATCCTTACTAGCGCTTGCACAAAACTCCCATCCACACGGAACAACTGTTCATTATTCTACAGGCTAGTATCATTTCTCAGTGCCATACCACAGTTGATCAGGTACACGTGTGTTCTACATTTGATTATTCCACAATCCCAAAATATATTCCTCATTTCATTGTTTCACAATTTGACGACCCTACAAGTTCATGTATTGTCTCTAAAATATACCGAAGTAAGTTTACTATACAGAGTACATTTTACAGTAAGATCATGTTTCTTCGATTCAATTGTTCCAAAGTACCACAATTCTGCACTATTACGTTGTAGAAACACATAAGCATTCCGTTTTCATTGTTTTCCAATTCTACTCGAGATTAAGTCTATAAGAGTTTACTTAGCAATACTTGTGATTTCTCGATTATTCTGCTCCAAAACCCCATACCTCTTTTCCAAACCACCACAGTTCCTTGTTACCACATTTACAATCACAGGTGCGTTCTATGTTCACAATTGTGCCCGGTGACTTAACAGCCTCTCTCAGCTGTTGTACCTGTCAATGAACAGACTGGTGATCTTGCTCATACAATGTGTCGGTGAACTTTAGAAAAGTCAGAGTTTGCTACATGGCCTCGCAATCGATCGATCATTAGGAGAAGTAGGTGATTGCCAAGTGCATTGCAACGTCCTGTGAATTCACTTACAGGATCTGAATAAACGATTAAATCGATAAAAAATCCAATGAAAGTTAGGTTTGGATTATTCAATCCGTTTAGTAAGAGTTTACACTAGATGAAAGTCTTATGGGTCACATGACTACATGGGAAACCCTTTCGATATTCAAATCTGACGACAAACATGAATATTTTTTAAGTTTGCATTTATTTTGAGAAGACTCATTTGACAATTCCTATGCCTCCAAACATACATAAATCTTGCTCGCTTATGGATTTCCCATCCATAAGGATCAGATTAGGACAATTATTGTAACACGTACGTTTCTGTCCGAAATATGTAGGATGTGTTAATGTTAACTATTTATTTATTTGTATGTTATAACTGTTTAACCTTGTATTCGTGCAATAAAAGAAAGAATAAAGTGTTAACTGTCAAATTTGCTCCAAACAAAGCAACAAACAAATAATTCGACTGCAAGTGTTACTGGACTTGACAATAAATTACATAAACAACTTCAAACGTTATAGTACACTACTGTCTTTATCCAAATGTAATGCTTTAACTCCAATAAGGAACATACTGTTTACTGACTGAACAAAATTTGAGTTCTAATATCGTTTCTCCACCAACTAATGTAAGAAGCATTTGGAGACCTAATACGTAATACAAAGAGGCCTATGGCGCAGGGTTAAATTCAAATCTTCCAGTACACCATCAGTCTTCAAGAGCAGCCTATAAAATATCGATCAAAGAATCAGGAAGGCCTGAAGGTATATAGAGCAACCTCCATAGAAGACATACAAGACAATAGACGAGTCAAGGCTAGTGAGATACTGTTGTATGGTTCTGTTATGATTGATTATACGACCTCCTGCCGAGGAGTATTGTGTATTGGTTGCAAATCATATCAATCTACTTCCCCTCATCCAGCAACACGATTGAAGTAGGTGTGATGGAAACCTCAGGTTTTTAACCTCGGTAATGATTTTATTGTTATACTAGCTGACCCGACAGACGTCGTCCTCTCCTAATGTGGTTTTATGTCAAATACTCGTTCATTTTCAAGATGAGCTCGTTCGCATCGCTCAATCACGTCCTGGTTGAAGTTCGTTTGCTACGCTTACCCACCTTTAGGTTGGAGCTCGTTCGCTGCGCTCACTTGCCTTCAGGTTTAGCTCGTTCGCTACGCTAACTCGCCTCCAGGTCAAAGTTCGTTCGCTTGATGGTGTATAAACCTATTCTACACGTATGTACCAAGTTTCGTGGCAATCGGTCCAATGGTGTCCGAGCTCATAACGTTCAAACATACAAACTTCCTCTTTTATAAATATAGATTTGTGCAGAGCCTTTTGTAGTTTGTTATGCATACAGTAGTAGCTTCCCTACTTATTGGGCCACCTAGGAACTGAAAGCCCTGGATAATGTTTTGGCCGTACAAACCAATGTTCATGAAATTCAAAACACATAAACAGAAATACCCCCGCCGCAGCAAACCTGCAGACTAAGCGAATTTCCATTTGACTGATTGGATTTACACTGAAATGTCTACTTAAAAATATAACATTTATTCCCGATTTAAATAGAATTAGTTTAACAAGTACTTAGGTTTGCTGCATCAGGGAGGGTAAAACTGTTTTTTTTTTTCGTAAAATGTTAATAGTTAGTAAGAAATAAAAACATTTTCCAAATTTGATCAAAATATGTTCATAAACAAGCAAACTACAACAGTTTACTCATTCTCCATAAGAATAACATGGGAATTTTAAATTTACAATTTTTTTGAATTTTCTCCGTAACCATTAGGCGCATAATAACGCTTCAATATACTAAATTATTTGTTTTTTTAAGCTCTACAAAATGGTTTGGAAATTAATTGCTAAATTTTATGTTTTTTGGGTCAAAATTGGGAAAAACCTATTTTTACCCCATAAAACCCCCCGTAAACACCCGTTCCCATGGTCCGATCATGCTGGATCGCGAACTCGTTCGAATAGACGTAGGTTTACACGTTTGTACCAAATTTCATCAAAATCGGATCATTTTTGCTCGAGTTATCGTGCTGACGGACACATATATATATATATATATATAAATATATATATATATATATATATATGAATTTGAACGGATGGTGTTTTTGGCCTCTAGGGACCTCAAAACGAAAAAAAAAATCGGTCCCGCGTCCAGGTCTTACCATGAGTACTACGGTAATAGCTTATTCCCTATATGGGAAATTCGCTAAAATGAGCATATTCGTTGAATTAGTGCTTGGGGTCTTAGAATTTAGTTTAGTCAGGAGAAACATACTTAGCCTTATGTCCATTCGATTACAACTGGTTGAAACGATGGTTTATTAAAAGACGCCGGTTGAAAGTGCATATAGTAAATGATTTGAATACAAGGACCGGATAGAGTGGTGACTGTCAAAAGGATAGCCAAATAATAGGGAGGCTACAGAGATAAATTAATGACATTGTTCAATGAAAATTCCTTTTTGCACTTGCCATTTTTTGTGCGATATTTCTTAGAAAGTTCAGACTCAAAACATTTCAATTGTTTGCCTTATTTCGTAACAGTAGAAGTCAAAACTCGTATACTTTTTGATACAACAGTTGCTATGTTCTATGTTCAGTTCCTTCTGTCAATACTAAACCGAATGGGATTGGGCCACGCATACTTAACCTCAAAGTGTTTAGAAATTATTCGAAATAGCCTATTATAAGGTTATTGGTTATTATATTTGTTACCACAAACCCTCTTTTTTCCTGTAGACAGAGATAAGCTACGATTGTTCATAAAAGATAAAAGTATTAATGCTTTACCTAAAATGTATATTTAACTATTTCGAATAGTTATTGATATTACGAGTTTTATATAATCTAAAGGAATTTTCAAATAGTTTTTTGTAATCACTGTTATCCGTTATGTAAGTAATATCCTCCAGTTAGCAAAATCAACAAAGAAATACTTATGTAACTTCTGAAAGAACTCCCTTGAACCTCACTTCCTTGACTTTGAGA